AAAATGTGTTTGGAATAAATTTTAATTAGCGGAAAATATTTTTAATCGATCAATCGAGTTTGTCATTAAGTAAGGTAGTTTATTACGTGAAGGGAAAAATCTCAAATAGTAAAAAATAAAAGTGAGTTTACCATTTCAGTAAAAAACTTTTTGCCCCAAATCACCTTTTTCTTGCGCTGACTTATCAAAACTTTATAACTATTAAATGAATAAAGTGTTGCTCAAGCGTTTTTATACTTTTTATGGATTTTCATTATTGACCCATTTTTTTGTAAAATTTTCGATAAACTATTTAGAATCCTCTCAAGCAGTGATTGAGGGCATTCTCAAGTAGAGATTGTACCCGGGTAAACATTTTATTATATGGATTTACAGCTATTATCATAATTTCTGGGACACCTGCTAATTACCCGAAATCTTTTTGGTCGTTTGGTAAATTACCTAACTCTCTGGAAATTACATCAATGACTCCGGACTGAAGGTCCGAAGATAGCGATGTAGTTTCCGGAGAGTTAGGTAATTTACCGAACGACCAAAAAGATTTCGGGTAATGAGCAGATGTCCCAGGAATTATGATAATAGTAATAAATTACCCGGATAACTGGGTAATTTGATAATACCCGGGTGGAGATTTTCTTGACGGGTACAATCTCTATTTTATATAGTCACAACTTTTTATATATAATCACCAAAATTTTGTTTCCCAACCTAGTGATTATATCGAGATCTGACTGTACTTTTAAACTTATAATTAAAAAAATAAGGCCGCCAAGTTGTACAGTAGCAAATTAGCTAAACTACAAAAATAGCGGCCAATTTTTTGTAACACTAGGAACCGGAAACCGGTATAAGTCTGGAAAATACCAAATTACGTTTTTAATATTTTTACTATAAATTATCAAAAACGTAACTTTGGTCATCAACGGCGTAGAAGTATAAGTCTGTCGCTTCGCTCCAGACAATTAAATATAATTAGCTTTTAAAGTTTGTGAAGTCTGCAAGATTTACGTATTATCAATAATCACATTGGAAAAGTTACACGAAAGCAGTGCAAACGTTATTGGCGCAGCAAAGCGGCCAATCGACTTATTTGACAAAATTTTTATTAGCTTGTTTCTTTAACGTTATTAAAATTTAACTTTATTACAATGTCTTCAGCAAACAGCGATCCAACACTTCCACATTCTTCTTCCACTTCCTCTTTAAATACGCCTCCTATCGAAAACACTCTTCTGACTCCCTTAAGTCCTGCTACAATTCTTGAAAAATACAAGGGAAAGAAAGATTCAAAGAAAGGTTGAATATTTGAAATTGTAATATTTCACTTGAAATTATTTATGCAGTTTACTTATTATTAATTATTGTTTCTTTTTCAATCATTAAATAGTTGTTGTACGTTTTCGGGCTATAGGTAACGCACCGATCCTAAAACAACCTTTTTTTAAAATAACCGCGTCTAATAAATTTCAAGTCGTGATCCAATTTCTAAGAAACCAACTTAACTATAAAGTATCAGATCCTTTGGTAATTTTTAATCTGATTTTTTGACCAGTAATTTCAAAATCAATATTTGACATTCTGATATTCTATTGATTTATCTCTTTTTTTTTTTTTTTTTTTTAATAGTTCTTATATGTAAATAGTGCTTTCTCACCGGCTCCTGATGAGATTGTGTCAAATTTGCACAAGGTATACTAATGCAATTTTAATTTTGGTTAACTTCATTTTTTAAATTTCATATTTTTAATTTGTTCTTTCTCAATAGTGTTTTAGCACAGACGGGCATCTTATAATAAATTATTGTACAACTGCAGCATGGGGTTAGTGTTGTAAATGCTAAAAATATAATATATAATAGACTATTTTTATCATTAAAATTTTCGTTTATTAATAATAAATACTAATAATAATAATAAATTCGAATTTCTTTGAGAAAATAAAAATTCCGCAAATAAAAATTTCATATACTATAAATTTATATAATTAATGGTTCTTAATTGAGGATTTTTTATTCCGTGAATCATTTTAAAGAAAAGTCTCGTTATTAATTCCGGAATTAAAGCCTAAATATCCTATCATTTAATTACTTATTAATGGTAAAGAAAATGGTTTAATGTTTAAATGGTATACTACATCTAAAACGAGTTGCATAAAAAATAAAATAAAATAAAAGTAAAACCAATAATGATGAATTTAATTAGGTAAGAACATATTTTGGACCATTTCCACCTTCAGGTGTGACCCAATCAATATTTTGAGAAACGTCTTTAATGTCGCATGTTTTACAATGCACACAATTTTGTGAATTAATTTGCAGGCGCTTTTCACCCGGATTAGTTTCATCATCGACAAATTCATAAACACCGGCTTGACATATTAATGAAATTATTGACTGTAAGAATGAATCGTTTAAACTAAGAAATTAGACAAAGTTTTATTTACCTGGACAAAATCTTGATTCCGGACCACCAAATATTTTCAAATTTCTTTCAACTGGTATTGTTTTATCCCTTACTCTTAGATGTACAGGCTGATTTTCGGCATGATTTGTTCCACTTCGAGAAACACTCTCAAGAAGGTCAAATGTTATCACACCATCTGGTTTAGGATATTCTATTGGTTTACATTCCCTATATAAATTACATTAAATAACCTAAGTTAGAAGTGTTAGAAGTACAAAATTATAAAATTATAAAATTATTGAACAATTTACTTGGCAGGCTTCAGAGAAGCGTAATCTAAATGGTGTTTGAATGTCCATGGGACACGGCCTTTTAAAAACATCATATCAAGGCCAGAATATAAAAGACAACCCCACAATCCTAATGGGTTATTGAATGACGGTCTAATGTTTCTAACTTGATATAATTCTTTATATACCCAGGAATCTTCAATGGACTTTTCGTAAGTAGTAAGGTTTATAGGTCCAGATGCGGATTTGTTAGATGTAATAGCGTCATATGCAGCTTCTGCGGCAAGCATTCCAGATTTCATTGCTGTGTGTGTTCCTTTGATTTTTGGAACATTTATAAATCCAGCAGTGCAACCAATAAGAGCTCCGCCCGGGAATACCAACTTAGGAATCGACTAAAAAATAAAAAATAAAAATGTCAGAAAAAATCATCCATGTAATTTAATCACTTCGACGATTTGAATGCTTATAGCAGAAAACTTATCTATATACCTGATATCCACCTTCATTAAGTGCTCGTGCACCATATGAAATGCATTTACCTCCTTCTAGGAATTTCTTAATATACGGATGTAACTTGTATTTCTGTGGCAATGTCATCCATCATTTAAATAACTACAATTAGTAAAATATATCAGGCAATTAAGATGAAAATTGAAATATTGTAATTACAAGCCCAGATAATAAAACATCATGTTCATACTATTGACCTGAAATTCTTTATATGGATTTAAATAGGGATTTTGATAATCCAAAGCAATAACAAACCCTAATTGCACAATATTATTCTCCATGTGATACATGAAGCCACCCCCGTACGTTTTGGAATCCATTGGATAACCCAATGAATGAAAAACAAAACCAGGCAAGTGTTTTTCTGGAACAATTTCCCATACTTCTTTGATGCCAATCCCGTATGTTTGAGGTTGTCGGCCTTCACGAAGATTGAACTTTTTTATCAACGTCTTGGTAAGTGACCCATGACATCCCTCGGCAAAAAGAGTAACTTTAGCTTTGAAGTTCATACCGCGCTCAAAAGTATCTTTTGGCTTAAAATTTTTATCAAGGCCCATGTCATTTGTAGCAATGCCACATACACTACCATCATCGTTATATAAAACCTACATAAATTAATTAAAAACAAAAAAGGTTATTTTTTATATAGACAAAATTTTTTAGTTAATTATTATGTAAAGCCTTACCTCACTTGCGGCAAAGCCTGGATATATTTCGACTTCGGCATCTTCAGCTTGTTTACCCAACCATTTCACAAAATTGTTCAAGCTGACTATGTAGTTACCCTTGTTAGACATTTGAGATAAATGAGGAAGAGGGTAAGAACCTTTCTCAGTTAATAATCGCAAAGAATCTTTAAGGGCCGGTTGATTAAGGGGAGCACTTCGGTCTTTCCAGTCAGGAATAAGTTCATTAAGAGCTCGCGGCTCAAGAACAGCACCCGAAAGTGTATGTGCACCTATATTTTGAATAAATATTTTTATAGTTAGCTTTAATAATATTGGTAGGATATTGAAAATTAAAAAGATTTTTTATATACCTATTTCACCCGCTTTTTCAATTACAACCACCCTGATCTCTTTTCCTTCATGGCTTGCAAGTTGCTTCAGACGAATGGCGGCTGATAAGCCTGCAGGACCTGCGCCAACTATCACAATGTCAGTTTCTTCTTCGAACCTATCAGCAACTAAGCGTGGATCGACCTCTTGATCAGTAACTGAGGCATGCCGCAAAAAAGATGTAGTCGATAAACCACGAAGCGGTGCATGAGAAGAAATTGAAGTAATAAATCGAGAAAGATGTCGATAAATCATGTTCAATTGTACAGCTTCAAGGCGAAATAATCCAGAATTTATAAATTTAAATTACATCTTAGATTATCATGAAAATCGATAATCTGATTGGGTGATCTTCAAATTTTAATTAAATACAGAAATACAGAATTAGAGGGGTCATTTTAAAGTAGGGCTCCTCATTTTCTGCTTCGATGACCCCAAATTCTGTTTACTTTACGAATCGATCTATTAGAATTAAGCAGCGAGTAGAACAAAAATTTTGAAACAACGGTAAAAATAAATTAAACTCCAATAAACTTATTATTCAACCAACGCTAATTCTTTTTTTTGAATACAGTATTACAGTATTAGGGTTAATGATCACAAGAAGTTGTAAATTGTGATTTATTTCGAAATCAGTGATCGATAAATTTTATTTATTTTTTATTTGTAAGCTTTATTTATTTAATTATTCACGCTTTTTATTTCTTTCGTAATTTTATTTCTAGCGCTAATTATTTTATTAACATATTAAGATAGCATCATATATCATCAAAAAAAAAGTTTACTACACTATTAAGAAAATAATAATAATAATAAAAAGGACGATTCTAATACCACCGGAGGTGAAATTCACCAGGTATGCTATTTCTCAAGAATGGAAGTAGTACGTAGTAGTAAGTAAAAATGTTCAGCGCCTAAAAAACCCTAACCCTAACCTAAAGTCTAATTTTAACTTTGAACTTATAAAAATAAATTCTATAAAATTTGGTAATAATCAAAAAAACATACCAGTGAAATTCATCTTATATATAGTTATTATTGTGAGCTTCGCATGCAATAATGGTTTTATTCGTTTTACTATTCAGCTTATCATATAAGTTATAGATATTTCACGGGCTGTTGTGAATATGATGGATTAGCACGGCGAAGCCGTGGTAATACATTGTGTTCATGACACACCGTGAAATATCTTTGGTTCCTATGCCCGTAATATTTCTGATTAAAATTTTTACTGATTACGTCATGGCCGTGGAAAAATTTTTGATATTTTCACGGCATTACGTTATATATAAAATTACTATATAAATCTTATACTTTTTTAGAATCTTTTATAACAGAATTAAAAATTTTGTTATAGAGAGTTCGTTTTAGAGTTGACGTTGACTATGATTTTTTTTTTTTTTTAAAAAAAAAAAACCCTATTGAATTTTAATTTTTTTAGCTTAAGGTTTTTAATATGTATAATTATTAATACTTTTGTTTTCTCTTGTTCATCTTTGAATTATTTGCCGTTATATGCGCAGATTATGCTATTGCAAATCTGAACCCTGATGTCTCCCAGAATAGTGATTGGACCCGTCAAAAAAAACGCCACCCGGGTGGGTTAAAAAAGCATCCCGTCGGGTGGATTCATGAGTCACCTAGGTGGAAATAGTACAGCTGTTTTCATAAATTCCGGAACAACTGAAAAAATTGCCGATGACCGAATCGATAAGCCTCCGAAGTCGGTTATTTATTGATTCCGACTCGGTAACTTATCAATTCGGTCATCGGCAATTTTTTCAGTTGTTCCAGAATTTATAAAAACAGCTGTAAAAATAAAATAGTAATTTTATTTGGATCGGTTAGAAACTTTATCAAAATGGTAACGTTTAAAATTTTACCTCCGATTCATTGAATGAGTGTCTAATAAAAACCATTTTGAAAGTTTTTTTTTTGAAGAAAAAAAAACAATTAATGGTAGTTGGATTATTTTACCGACCAACATTTGATTGGATACTGATTGCCGGATAAAATATAAAAACTTCAGTGAAAAATAACTTTTAAGTGCAGTTTTCAAAAGGTTATAACCGAAATCCACACGATTTCCTTGATTTCCTTAATATTTCCCTTAGGGAAATCAGGGAGGTTTTCCCATGATATAGTGGTCGCACCTGTTTACATCTTTTATATTGAAAATAGCTATAACGTATAAATAAAAATCAAAATTCGTGGGAATAATACACGTAATGATAAGTTTGAACAGTTTATTTTAAATTTATAAAATAGAATTTTGCTATTTATCGTCAAAAACGTACTAAGTAAACAAGATCGGGTATTCTAAGTAAAAATGTTCAGAAACCCAAAAACCTCACAAAAACTAAAATTGGGACCTTATATTAGCTCTATATTATATTATATAAAAAAAAAAATAGTTCTCTAATTTCTAACCCTAACCCTAACAAATCTTAGGACTGGTGATGATCACCACTGGTAATATATAGTAATTTTCTATAAAATATTAAAAAATATTTCTGTTTTACACAATTAAAGTAGCTTATTTTAAATATACAGTATAACTTATATATACCAATTAATTTCTTCAAATAAAACACTATATATTTAAATATAGGATAAATCTATTTGTAACAGCCTGTTACACGCTTATTTTTAACAGTTTGCTTATAACTCAAAATTTTACTAAGATAATCTCTTTTGCGTTACTAACGAAAAATGATCCTCCCGCAATTTTGTATTAATCTTGATACTAACTTTAAACCTAACTAGGGTGTCTGGCACGCCAAAAAAATTTGGCATGCTACAAGGCATGCCTTTTGTTAAAATTTGTGCCATGGCATGCCTTTGGCATGCCACAATATTATTATTATTTATAACACTGTATATATAATATGTATCTATATTCTGATATTATAAATATAATTTTTTATACTACACCCAGTGGCATGCCGAATTTGTTTTAGGCATGCCAGTGGCATGCCACCATTGGCATGCCCTTGCCACTATGCCAAACACCCTAAACCTAACCTAACACTAACCCTAACACTAACTCTAACACTAACCCTAATGCTAACCCTAACATTAATAGGCTGTTACAAATAAGCGCGTAACAAATAGATTTTTTCTTAAATATATGTATCGATATACCAGTTTAATTAAAGCTAAAATGAAATGTTAATTTTCGATTTTTTTGGCAAATGAGGACGCGCCGCAAAGCGGCACGTGTAGCCAATCATTTGTCAAATTGCCGTATTCGAACAATTTGCCCATTATGCAATAATGGTGTTATCCGGCAATTTATGATCATGATTGGTAGGGAGTCGCTCGCTGTTTTTTTTTTTTTTTTTGAATACTGGAATAAACTTACATCGTACACATGAAAAAAATAACAAAGAGAGATTTTTTCATGATCATATGAGTTTGCCGGATAAATTAAGATACTCTATTCAAATAAACTGAAAGTTTATATTGAAGTAGCTTTCAGTCACTAATTATTAGCTAAGTGGGATAAGCAAATAAAAATTAACGGTTTAGCCGAGCCATAAAAATTTGATCAGCTTAAATCACTAGCGCTAGTGCTACCGGTATGTTAACGTCGTGTACGGATTACTTATTTGCGCCGGTGATACAAAGCCAATTACGTACGTACGTGCGTAAGCACGTGCAACGTACAGTACTTAAGATTTGGTTGACTACATTCAACATTTTGATAAAATTGATTCTTCTCATAATACATACAGCAATTCAATGAAATTGATTTTCTCATATAGCATGTAATATTTTGGATATAGGATGTCAGATACAAAAGACAAACAATCAGCTAATATACATGATCCAGAATTCTGGCTTGGTTATCGTTACGAATATGGAATTGGGGTTGAAAAGGATGAGAATAAAGCATTCATTCATTATCAAAAATCTGCAGAGATGAATAATCCTAACGGAATGTATCAAGTTGGTTATTGTTATTATTTAGGAATTGGGGTTGAAATAGATAAGCATAAAGCGTTTATACATTATCTAAAATCTGCCGAGGCTGATAATATTATGGGAATTTGGAAAACTGCCATCTGTTACTATTACGGAATTGGTGTGGAAAAGAGTGAAAACAAATATTTTAATTGGATTCTAAAGTATTTTTAATTTTCAAATTTTTCGTTAATGCATTTGAATTTTACACTTCAAAAATTCTTAAAAATTATTTAATCCTTTAGGGAGTAAGTTTGATGATTAACTATATGAATTATAAAAATCATATTGCAATAATTCATGATAAATTCAATTAAATGATTTGCTCAAAATTGGGTTATTCACATTAACTTAGTCTACAGTATAGTTTATAATTATTGTATGAGTTGTAATGAATAACCTAGTTACATATTCCGTGCCTTCGACACGGAATTTAAATATGAACCCGTGTGTGTAATTGAGTTATTCGATATACTCATACAATAACTATCTTATTGCACGGTGTCTAACGAAACAATCCCGTGCCGATAAGTAAATGAAAAAGCACGGGTTGTACATAAGACCTGTGCAATAAAGAACATTGATTTATTAATCTAAGTATTTAAAATAAGCTATTCAAGTTCATGAATATTTACTATTTAATTTTATTTTATTCGCGTTAATT